TACATACACACACAAATTAAGAAGTTAAAAATTTGGTGAACTCTTATGATTAGAAATGAATTTCAACTTCCAGTTCAATATTGTATCTATTTTGCATAAATTTATGGGTGATAGTTCTGATCATAATTTTATCAATGTGGTGGCTTACTCTTAAACATTCAAATATTTGTCAGAGAAAATGGTGTATTTCTTGTAAATTTTAGGTTAAGTCAAATTCAGCATTGTATAATTTTTTAGCATTTATAATCTTAGTCTTAATTAACAAAAATGATTGGTTTATCACTTACAGTGAGCAGTCAATGTACCAAATGTTAGCAATCACATTACAAGCTAATGGATAGTATAGATAGTTTTTATATTAAATTCTAAGGAGAGCTTTTTAAATAAAGTTTTTTTCTGTATTTATGATATACTCATTATAGGTTTTCTTTTCATATTCCAAATCCATTTTTGCAAAATGAATTCAGAAATAATCTTTATAAGCATTTGTAGTTATTTAATATTTCTGGCCACAGAGGATACATCTGTAATGCACACTGATATATGTAATGCATTGTTTAGAAGTATCTATTGAAAATCAAATCATTTAAGAATGTGTTGCTATTTAGGGATGCTATAATTTATCAGAGTTTGAGTCCAAGAGTTTAAGAGTCTTTTGGTATATTCATAATTGTTGGGTTGGTCACTTTTTGTTCTACCAAAACTAATAATATATAAATGAACTTTGGGTACCTAAGTTTATGAACTTAATTATTCCATAGTCCCTTTTTCTCTGTAAGTATTAACTTTTTAAAAATTACAGTCAGTATTTCCTGCAGCATGTAAGGTATTTGATGTAATCTCCTATAATAATATTAAATTGTAAAGCCAAAACTTTGTTGTCTAATTATATACAATTAAAATGGAGGGGGACAAGAAACCCAAAACACTAATTAGAAAGAATATATGCACATTGTTCATTGCAGTGTTATTTACACTAGCTAAAATATGGAAGCAACCCAAATGCCCATGAATAGACAAGTGGATAAAAAAGCGGTGGTACATGTATACAATGGAATATTACTCGGCCATAAAAAAGAATCAAAGCTTACCATTTGTGACAGCATGGGTGGACCTAAGTGAATAAGACATATGATTTTACTTATACATGCAATCTAAAGAGAGTAAAATAAATGAACAAACAAAATAGAAACAGACTCATAGATACAGGGAACAGACTGATGGTTGCCAGAGGGAAGGAGGTATTGGAGGGGCTGGATGAAAAAGGTGAAGAGACTAAGAACTACAGATTGGCCCTAGCCAGGTAGCTCAGTTGGTTAGACTGTTGTCACAATACAGCAGTATTACGGGTTTGATTCCCAGTCAGGGCACATGCAAGAATTAACCAATGAATGCACATATAAGTGGAACAACAAATTGATGTTTCTCCTTCTCTCTTTCTTTTTCCATTTCTCTTTCTCTCTAAAATCAATAACTTTTTTAAAATTAAAAAAACAACTACAAATTGGTAGTCACGAAATAGTGACAGGGATGTAAAAGTACAGCATAGGGAGTATAGTCAGTAACATTGTAATAACTGTACGCAGTGGTTCTCAACCTTCCTAATGCCGCTATCCTTTAATATAGTTCCTCATGTTGTGGTGACCCCCAACCATAAAATTATTTTCGTTGCTACTTCATAACTGTAATTTTGTTACTGTTATGAATCGTAATGTAAATATCTGATATGCAGGATGTATTTAGGCGACCCCTGTGAAAGGGTCGTTCGACCCCCAAAGGGGTCGCGACCCACAGGTTGAGAACCGCTGCTGTACAGTGACAAGTGGGTACTTAAAATGTCAGGGGACCGCTTTATAAAGTATATGATTATCTAACCACTATGCTATATACCTGAAACTAATATAAAATAATATTGAATATAAACTCTAATTGAAAAGTAAAAATTTAATTGAGGGGAAATTCTGTGAGGCTTTACATTAATTCAGAAATTTTGTAAGTTCAATTGGAATTTGCTGAAAAGAAGTGAAATGTAGCTTAGTTTGTCCAAAGATGGAAAGTTTTTACATGTCAGCTATTATATTTTCTGTATTAATATTTATAGTCTATTTCAATCCACAAAGGAACTTTGAAAAAATGTAAGCCAGAATGACATCCCCCTGGAGAACACTGACTAAACAACAATATATAGACCGGATTGCATTTCTGAGAACTTCAGAAACCATTTGAGAGATTACAGTACTCCAGGCAAGTGCAAGGCCAAGAAGAGTTTCATTATAGTGGGTAGGAAAGCTCATTGACTTACCTGCTATACCTCATCCCATTCCTGACACAGCACAGCAAAGGCCTGATCAAGAGAAAATTTCCAACTTATGGCTTCTCCTTCAGGTGGGAAAGAAGGATAAAATGTCTAACCAGCATTCTGCCCAAGGGACTGTTTTTTGTCTCACCTAATTCTTGAAGCACTGACAGCACCCATGGATGCCTGTGGCCCTGCTGAAAACAAAGGCAAGGGCTATGGCTTGCTGCAGCACCAGAGACTGCAGTACTCCAGGCATACACCAGGGGGAGCTCCTGAATCGAAACAGGCAAACCTCTTCAGCTCTGAAATTATTGTTTACACATACAAACCCAGAGGAGACACATCAACAAAAAAGGTTTGGGGGACCCCAAAATTTCTAGCTAGATTGATTGGTGAATATCTTTTCTTTTTTTAATATATTTTATTGACTTTTTACAGAGAGGAAGGGAGAGGGATAGAGAGCTAGAAACATCGATGAGAGAGAAACATCGATCAGCTGCCTCCTGCACACCCCCTACTGGGGATGTGCCCGCAACCAAGGTACATGCCCTTGACCAGAATCGAACCTGGGACCTTTCAGTCCGCAGGCCGACGCTCTGTCCACTGAGCCAAACTGGTTAGGGCTGAAGATCTTTTCTCTACAAAACTAATTTATAAAGAGTAACAGTGTTAGCTATATTTTCAAATGCCCAAATTTAAACAGAAAATAATAAGGCATACAAATAAATGGGAAGACATTGGCCTGATCAAAGGAACAAAATAAATCTCCAGAAACTGACCCTAAAGAAAGGGAGATCGATTAGTTATTTGTCAAAGAATTTAAAATAACGATCCTATAGATGCTCAGTGAGCTAAAAGAGAGCACAGACAATTAAATGAAATCAGGAAAATAGTGTATGAACAAAGTCAAAGAAACTATAAAGGAACCAAACAGAAATTCAGAAGCTGAAGAATATAATAATGGTCGTGAAAAATTCACTAGAAAGGATCAACAGCAGGCTGGATCAAGCAGAAGAAAGAACTGGCAGACTTAAAGACAAGCTATTTGAAATTGTCAAGTCAGAGGAACAAAAGAAAAAAGAATTAAGAGACCCTAAGGGACTTATGGGACACTGTCAAACTGACCAATGTACAGACGTCTAGGAATGAAGAACTGTGTTTTACCTCATACTCAAAATACCTCTGACACCACAAGTGGGGACTTTTCCCCCCACACTGACCAATTGTCTGACAGCCAGTAGTCTTACATTTCATCCATAAGTAGTGGGTCACCAGGTAACCCACAACTTCTATCATACATAGCTATAAGTTGGAGGTTCTCATGAAGTAAAAATACCCTATTTAGTAAAAATTATTTGCTAGAGTGGCTCACAAAACCCAGGAAAACATTTTACTTACTAGAGGTATCCCCTGCTTTCTAAAAGTTTGCATTAGGCCACTTCACTTTTCTTCACTTACATTAGTACCTGTTTCCATTAACTAAAAGACATTTGTAAAGGATTTTTCCTTTTACAAAAACCGTCAGTACTGTACTAATGTTGGTCTTTTGTAAAAGCAAAGTGGCATAATGTGAACTGTTGATAAGTGGGGGTACCCTTTGTTTTAAGCCTTACAAAAGATTTCATAGGAACTCTACTTGGGATAGTAGGGAAAACCTGTATTCCTGATGTATTACAAAGGATATTTTAAAGGAGACTGATGACCAGGCAGATGAAGAGATACATAGGGTGTAATCTGGAAGGGTCCTGAGAGCAGGAGCTTCTGTCCCCGTGACGTTGGGGTGTGCCACCCTCCTGGCATGTAGATGTGTTCGCCAACCTGGAAACTCCTCAACTTCATGCTTTTAGGATTTTTATGCAGGTTTTATCATGGAGGCATCGATTATTAAATCACTTTCCACCGCTCTCCAGATAATTGGGGGTAGGTCTGAAAGTACCACACTTCTAATTATGGTTTGGTCTTTCTGGCAACCATCTCCTTTCTGGCATCCACTAAAAGTTTCCTCATTAGAGCAAAAGATGCTACTATCACCCAGAAAATTCCAATGGATTTAGGAGCTCTGTCAGATGTTCCTATCACTTAGGACATCATAAGGGTTTTAGGAGATCTGTATCAGGAACTGGGGGTTGAGGTGGGGTGGGCAAAGCCCAGATTTTAGAACAAAAGATGCTCCTAGCACTCCTATATACAAGGATTTTAGGAAATTGTGTCAGGAACTAGGGGCAGAGATTATATCATTTATAAGCTGCAGTGCTGGGATGTTAAGCAATTCTTTTAAGCCGCCAAACCCATGCTCTTAACCCCACTGCATTTTATTACTACACTGTTTCTTAGTTCTCATTATTTCCCCTCTCCAAGTCTGCCAGTGCAAGTTTCTTGTTCTGCTCCTATATTCTTCATATTTTGACTTTGGTCTCCATGATTTGGGGTTGGGGGGGGGGGCGCTAAAAGAATGGGGAAATAACAGTACAGCCAGCTACAGGAAAGATTGAATGTTACTGCCTCAAGGAAGAGAAAGGCCTATTTCTGTACTTTCTTCATCAATTGGGGGTGATAACCAACTGGTAAAACTTCCTTTCACAACAATAAGACAGCTCTAGGACTGTGTTTGCAAAGATGAATCTACAGAAGTATATAAAATATTATTTCCTTGGTGTTAAAATTTTTTACATTAGACTTAACATATGGGAAAATTCAGACATTCTAGTTTCTCCAAGGGCAAAAGTTAGAGGTATGGTTGTTGTGGGGTGAGGTATGTGATTGATGTGGAATGCTACCCTCTTATTTTTCTGTTTTCATTATCTGGTTTAAAGATACATCTTTTAGAGGACATACTAGAGTAGTAATTCTTATACTTTTTAGTTGTAGGACTCCTTTATATTCATAACAAATATTGAGGAGCTTTTGCTTATGTGGATTATTTCTGTCATTATTGTATTAAAAACTATCTAAGATGATACTAAAGCCCATACTACATGTTACTTTTTTGAATTTTACTTTTATGAAAAATACCTATATTTTCCAAAGAAATAAATGCAGTTTTATTTTTTTCATTTCTCTTTAATGTCTGGCTTCATAAAGATAGCTGGATTTTCATATCTTCTATTTTCATTCTTTTGTTTGGGTCAAAGCATATGAAGAAAATCGAACTTCACCAAGATGTATAGTTGGAAAAGGCAGAATTATTTTAATGGCCTTTCAGATAATGGTGGATATTTTTCTTTGATACCACACTAAGCCAGACCAGTGACACTTTCTTGAAGTGTAAAGTCTGAAATCATATTAATGACATTTTCATACTCTGTTACATTAAAATTCATTGATTCATCTTGTGCTTCAGTTATATCTTTTACCATGCATAATTTTAGAATATTACTTATTTTAGTTGTGTAAATATTTTAGCACTTTATATGGTACCAGAATTACATGTTAATATCACCAATCATTTATCAGATTAGGAAAATATCAAGATTTTGTGGCAGATACAAGTTTCTCCAAATTCTACTTTTTATTTGAAAGCTTGAATTTTATTATTGGCAATAAATACTGTCAGCTGTTTCCCCTAAAAGTGATAGGCTTACTTTGTTAATTTTTGAAATAATGTCTTAATACCCACAAGTCTGAATAGTTATAGTTTGCCATTGCTCTTTCGGTTAAAATGGGGTTGCATAAGGAAAAAAAGTGACTAGGCACAGTTCTTTCCTCCAGACAGCCATTGTGCTTTGATATACAGCAAAAGTGCTTCATAGGTATTTCCCATTTTGCCACATAGAAAATTAAAAAGACATACACTTATGGGTCAGACTGAATAAAATGATAATTTATATTTTACTTTTGTTATTTTGATTTTTTACCCACCATTATTTTGTGTCATCAGTACAAATGTCAGCACATTGAAAATGGCAAGTAATACCTTAGTATTGTTAGGAAAATAAATATCACCTCGCAGAGCCCCTGAAATAGTCCCAGGGACCACAGTTTGGGAACCACTACACTAGAGACTCAGTGTTCTTCCCCTAAATTCACCAGCGTATCTTGTTCTGAAAAGTAGGGGTGAAGGTAACTGATCTTCAAAGGCTGGTTCTGTTAATGTATCTGTACTGACTAGAGGAAATTAGAATGCCTCAGTCGTGTTGGGACAGATACAACATGTCAAGTATACTATATTTTTTCCACTTTCTAACATCTGAGCTAGGTGCCTCTCTGCCCTTTGAATCACTTATGCTCCATGCTCAGATATATTTTTAAGGAAGATAACTTTAAGGAATTTATGAAACTTAATTACAAATGGCTAATTCTCTCTCCTGCCTTTGACTTTCTGCTTTTAAAAAGTAATGAATGGGGATAAATTGGCTTGTTTAACCTAATTTTCTACTTCACATACATTTCTCTAACAGAGGATCTTATCACTAATAATCCCATGCTTGCATTTAAATATTCTAATCCATGTATTAGTATTTCTACCAGGATGCTTTCATCTTAAGTATCACTTATTTCTTGACTGTTATCCTTAGGAAAGGACTATAGGAATTCAGAAACATTCATCACCCTTCATGCTAGTATAATGGAATTAATGAAGTATCTTCGCGCAACAATTGGACTTAAGCCATAGATACTAATCTTGATACCTACATAGTACTTTCTAAAAAATAAGGATAAACGATTAACCACGTTAGCAGATCACTCTTGTGAGTTTTCAGGGATGTACTTAGACACTGATTTTTTTCCTGTTAGCTTTTCCTTATATAACTACTTTTCTCCACTCCCGATTAAGAGTTTTAATTTATTTAAAATTAAAAGATTTTATTGGTTTGTCCATAGGAATAAGATAAGAACAGGAATGCAATTTATAATTCTTAGGTTTAAAGAAATATTATTTAAAAATCTTACACTTTGTGAGATATTTCTGTCACTTCTGGTGAAATTTCTGGATGCAGATAAACCACAGTGGCTACGAGCTGTTGCAGTAGAATCAATACACAGACTCTGTGTGCAGCCTCAGCTATTAAGGTAAACCTCAGCAGTATTTTGTTAAATGTGTAGGTTTGTTTTTATGCCAGTAGGAAGAGTTTAAGTATTTATTTCCAAATATTAGTGATTTCTAAACAAAAAGTGGATTGTGTGTATATGAAGGGGTTGGGGTGTTGGTGTGGAAAATAACTGGGAGGTGGCAAGAAGTGTGTTAGTAATTGCCACCAGCCAAATTTACTGAGTTAACATGGCCAAGGTAATTTTTTAAGAACATTAACCTCAATCTGAACCATCATCCTAAGTTCGTAAAAACACTCAAATATGAAGTTTTAAGTATAGTATTGAGACTGATTTATCAATGTTACTTAGTATAAAAAAAGTCTAAATATTTTAATATGTCCAAACATTTTCTCCAGAAACATTTAAAATTATTTTACAGGTCATTTTGTCAGTCCTATGATATGAAACAACATTCTACCAAGGTTTTTCGTGATATTGTGAATGCACTGGGCTCCTTTATCCAATCATTGTTTCTTGTCCCTCCTACTGGAAATCCTGCTACCGCAAACCAAGCTGGTAAAGGCTCATTCATATTTTCATTTTTATGTTCTGTCACAGTTTACAGTAATCACTAGTCTGAGAAGATGTTTTATAGATATCCTTGACTAGAGAAATTTAATTACTTAAATGTATTATATCTATTTTATAACATTTTGTTATATTCATTTATAATATTTTATATTTTATATATGAGTGTAAAGACACTTAAAGAATAATTTGAGCTCACAGAGGCAACTGTGTTTATTTCTCTCCAGAATATGTTTTCTGATATATATGTTTAGTTACTTTAATCACATAACAAAAGTTTAGATGCTAATCTTCATTTTAGAAGATACCTCATTTGGTGTCTCTCTTTAAAGAGTCTGGTTATTATGTTAGGAGATGTTTTAATCTCTCTTTTAACAAAACAGGTGAACTTGATTTAAGTTTGGCAATCAATGTCTTCTTGTTTCCCTTCTTTTCCACCTTTTACTGTCTGATCAGTGGCTTTTTATTTTTTATTCTCATCTCTGATAAAAAGTGATTAATGAAAGGTATATTATAAAGTTTTTCTGTATTTTTACTTATTAGTACCTTTTATATGAAAAAAGGAAATGGTGCTTTGATGAAAGAGGGATACTCTCTAATAGCCAAAGTAGGATTGATAAATTTCATTTATTTGTATAATATCCATTTATATAACATAATTTTAAAAAATTGATCAGGTATCTAATATTATTGATTTGTAATTAAGTAGTAACATGGTATCTTTGTTTTTATCCCTTAATCCAAAAGGAAACAATAATGCAGGTGGCACTGTCTCAGCACCAGCTAACCCAGGAATGTTGGGGATTGGTGGAGGTGTTACTTTACTACCAGCATTTGAATATAGAGGAACTTGGATACCTATTCTGACTATAACAGTACAAGGCAGTGCTAAAGCAACATAGTAAGTAGTAGTAGCATTATTTTGTAAGGAAATATATTGTTGGGAATGATATTTTATCCTAAAATGTTTCTCTCTGCATTATATTTTAAATTTAGACCTAGTATTTTAAACTCATTTTAGAACTAATTTTCTTTTGCCGTATTTTGAGAAATTATTTAAGACTCGACTTTTTTTTTTTTATACTATTTGTAGGTTGTTAGCAGCATTATAAAACAAAACGTGATTTCTTTACCTAAGGACCTATTCAGCTATCTGTATTGAGTTTTAAGTATATGGCTTGATTTCACACCCTGTGAACTTAGGTTTTGTAATACTAGCAAATTAGTTCACCTTTTAGAAATTTTAGTTTCCTTATCTGTGAAAAGAGACTAGAGATATATTAACTTTTCAGCCAGAAATTATTGGGTATTCTTTTGCACATGGATTAATTAGTATGTTCACATTGGAGCTTCCCTGTTGAATTGGTGTCTTTCATTAATTCATTGTGAGGTTCCATCTAAAATTATTTTCACTATTTTCTTTGAAGGCAAGGCACAGATATAAATCTTAATTGTGTGTTCTGTTCTTTTAGACTTTTAAGTGTGTAATAATTTGAAAAGTTAACTGATGTATAGACAGAAGTAGTTTCGATATAAGTATTGGTAACATTCTTTTAGATTTATTTCAGTATGGCTTTCTTCAAAGTTGGGCTTGTGACGCTTTTTGCAATATGACCTTAAGTTTAAAATATTTAAATAAATGTGTTATGTTTTATTTAAAAGTAGAATTGATGTGTTAATCCTAATAAAATAGCACTGAAATGGTTAGGTAAGAAAGTGTGGGCTTTGTTTTAGGTTTGTGATATAAATAAAAAGTATAGATTACCTTTGTCTCTTACCTATTTTAGAACTTAAAGTCTATAACCTGGTATTTTTGGAAGATAAATGGTTCCTTATTAGGACGCTTTTTGCAATATGACCTAAAGTTTAAAATATTTAAATAAATGTGTTACGTTTTATTTAAAAGTAGAATTGATGTAGTAATTCTAATAAAATAGCACTGAAATGGTTAGGTAAGAAAGTGTGGGCTTTGTTTTAGGTTTGTGATATAAATAAAAAGTATAGATTACCTTTGTCTCTTACCTATTTTAGAACTTAAAGTCTATACCATAGAATTTGGGAATTAGAGTTTTTTATATTTAGGACTATTTTTATCTGTTTTAGTTGCATTTTACCAGTAGATTATATGTTCTTTAAAAATAGAGATTTGTTGAACAAGATGCTTAACATTTATTGGTTTAGTACAGTGATGGCGAACCTTTTGAGCTCGGCATGTCAGCATTTTGAAAAACCCTAACTTAACTCTGGTGCCGTGTCACATATAGAAATTTTTTGATATTTGCAACCATAGTAAAACAAAGACTTCTATTTTTGATATTTATTTTATATATTTAAATGCCATTTAACAAAGAAAAATCAACCAAAAAAATGAGTTCGCATGTCACCTCTGACACAAGTGTCATAGGTTCACCATCACTGGTTTAGTATATGACTCTATGAAGTTAATTAGTCTGATAAGGATTAGACCTAAAAACTTTACTCATTTAAGTAAATTTCTTGCTCAATAATATACATATATTTTTATTGATTACCTGAATTTTACAATGCTCAGAGTTGGCACTTCTTAGGGGTTAAATTGATAGGCTTTAGAATCAGACTTGGGTTAAAAACTGCTGATTAATAACTGTATCGCCTTAGTCCATCATCCAGGGTTTTTGTGAGGAGTTAAATGAGATAATATATATATAAAACTAGAGTCTCAGGTTAAGAGTAATTTCTCAATAAATAATAGCTATACATGGTATTTTTATTCTAGGTTTTACATTTTTTAATAAATTTGCTGCCTTATCAAGACTTGATTATGATTCAGGGATATTTAGACTTTGGGATAGGAAATAACTTTTATTAGCTTTTCTTAGTGATTTTGATTTTGTTTTTGAGATATAATTCATATACCATAAAATTCACCCTTTTATTAGTCCTTGACTGGGAATCAAACCCGAGATCCTTCAGTGCCCAGGCCAATGCTCTAACAACTGAGCCCACTGGCCAGGGCTATAGTTTTTTCATTTTAATGAATTCATTTTGTCTATTTTTTTCTTTGCTGTTTATGCTTTTGTTAACATATCCAACAATTCATTACCTAACTTGAGGTCATGAAGACTTTTGCCCATGTTTTCTTCTAAGAGGTTTTAGGTTCAGCTCTTATATTTAGGTCATTGATTCATTTCAAGTTCATTTTTGTGAATGGTTTAAGATAGGGCTCCAATATCACTCTTTTACATGTGAACATCCATTTCCAGCACCATTAATTCTTTCCCTCTTGAATTATTCTCTCTACACTGAATTATCTCAACATCCTATCTAATAAAAGAGTAATATGCAAATTGACCATCACTCCAACACACAAGATGGCCACCACAAGATGGCCAGCAGGGGAGGGCAGTTGGGGAAGATCAGGCCTACAGGGGAGGGCACTTGGGGGCAACCAGGCCAGCAGGGGGAGGGCAGTTGGGGGGACCCAGCCAGAAGGCGAGGGCACTTGAGGGGGACCAGGCCAGCAGGGGATGGCTGTTGGGGGAGACCAGGCCAGCAGGGGAGGGCAGTTGGGGTGACCAGGCCAGCAGGGGAGAGCAGTTGGGGGGGACCAGGCCAGCAGAGGAGGGCAGTTGGGGGGACCAGGCCAGCAGGGGAGGGCAGTTGGGGGGACCAGGCCAGCAGGGGAGGGCAGTTGGGGGGGACCAGGCCAGCAGGGGAGGGCAGTTGGGGGGGACCAGGCCAGCAGGGGAGGGCAGTTTGGGGCGACTGGGCCGGCAGGGGAGGGCAGTTGGGGGCGACCAGGCTGGCAGGGGAGGGCCGTTGGGGGCAATTGGGCTGGCAGGGGAGCAGTTAGGCATCAATCAGGCTGGCAGGGGAGTGGTTAGGGGGTGATCAGGCTGGCAGGCAGGCGAGCAGTTGGGAGCCAGCAGTCTCGGGTTGTGAGAGGGATGTCCCAGATTGGAGAGGGTGCAGGCTGGGCTGAGGGACATACCCTCCCCGCACCCCCCCCCCATGCATGAATTTCGTGCACCGGGCCTCTAGTATCTTAAAATAAAGGAAGTTAAAACCATAATTCCCTATTTGCCATGATATAAGACAAAAGATTTCTTGCCTTTTGAAAGCCTTGTCCTAACCATGGGTAAAAATTGCTCTGAAGTTTGATGTTGATGCACTGATGCTCTGTTATTCTCATCGGGTTAGCAGATTGTATCTGAGAGGATAGGTAAGCTCAGTATCTCACAATACTTTTCCCCAGTGAACAAGCATCTTCCTTTTTATAGGATTGATTTGATTTGATAATACCTATTTTATTTACTCATTATTATTTTTTAGTTTTTATTGTTGAGAGTACTATAGAGATCTCCATTTTTCTTCCCATTGTCCCCCTCCACCCAGTTCCTGCCCTGCCTCAGGCCTTCACCACCCTACTGTCTGTGTCCACAGGTAAAATCTTTAGTTAATCTCTTCCAACCTCCTTCCCCCTTCCCCTCTGAGATTCATTAGTCTGTTTCATGCTTACATGCCTCTGATTCTATTGTATTCACTAGTTTATCTTCATTAGATTTCTTGTTTGTTTATTTTGATTTTTAGATTCAATTGTTGATAGATATGTTTTTGTTGCCATTTTATTGTTCATATTTTTTTCTTTTTTTCATATTTTTTTATTTCCTCCTCCTCCTCCTCCTCCTCCTCTTCCTCTTCCTCTTCCTCTTCCTCTTCTCCTTCTTCTTCTTCTTCCTTCTTCCTTCTTCCTTCTTCCTTCTTCCTTCTTCCTTCTTTCTTCTTCCTTCTTCCTTCTTCCTTCTTCCTTCTTCCTTCTTCCTTCTTCCTTCTTCCTTCTTCCTCGTCTTAAAGAATACCCTTCAACATTTCATGTAATACTGGTTTGGTGGTGGTGAACTCCTTTAGCTTTTTTTTTTTTCCTATGAAGCTCTTTAACTAACCTTCAATTCTAAATGATAGCTTTGTTGGGTAGAGTAATCTTGGTTGTAGGTTCTTGTTATTCATCCAAAGTTTCTGTTGAGAAATCAGCTGATAGTATGGGAGCTCCCTTGTGATAACTAACTGCTTTCTTCTTGCTGCTTTTAAGATTCTCTCTTTGTCTTTAACTTTTAGCATTTTAATTATGATCAGTCATGGTGTAGGCCCTTTATGGTTCCTCTTGTTTGGAACTCTCTGTGCTTCCTGGACTTGTAAGTCTATTTCTTTTACCAGATAGGGGAAGTTTTCTGTCATTATTTCTTCAAATAGGTTTTCAATGTCTTGCTCTCTCTCTCTTCTCCTTCTGGCACCCCCATAATGCGAATGTTGGGACACTTGAAGTTGTCCCAGAGGCTCCTTATACTATCTTCATATTTTTTTATTCGTTTTTTCTTTCTGCTCTTCTGATTGGATGTTTTTTGCTTCCTCATATTCCAAATTGTTGACTTGATTCTCAGAATCCTCTACTCTATTGTTGAATCCCTGTAAATTATTCTTTATTTCAGTTAGTGTATGCTTATTTCTGGTCCTTTCTCCTATCTTTGATATTCTGACTAAGATCCTTGAAAGTCTCACTAAATCCCGTGAAGCTCTCATAAAGATCATTAAGTAACCATATAACCATGGTTTGAACTCTGTATTCAGTAGTTTGTTTCCATTTCTTTCATTTGTGA